GGGGGGGGGGGGGGGGGGGGGGGGGGGGGGGGGGGGGGGGGGGGGGGGGGGGGGGGGGGGGGGGGGGGGGGGGGGGGGGGGGGGGGGGGGGGGGGGGCGAGGGGGGTGACCAACTACGACTGCGTGCCATGGGACTACCTGAGAAGGGGGCTGATGCAGCACCTCTGTGGCAACTTGACGATCCCCAGCAACGACACTAAGGTGGTCGACGAGGGCCCTTACGGCTGGCGGGGAGACGCAAGCGTCGGGTTTGGGGGGCGCGGGGGAGAAGGGAACGGGTACGGGGCGGTTAACACGCCGCAGGTGCGCTGGATGAACGAGGAGGAACTGGCGTTCGTGCGCGGCGTCCTCAAGACCAAGCAGGAGAAGGTCCGCTTGAAGCAGGAAAAGCTCCGCCAGCAGCTGGCCAGCCGGGGCTACTCCGGGACCGAGCTCGTGTCCATCGGGAGCAGCGGCGCGGCGGACGCGGCCTTTGGCAGGGACGGCGGCAACGGCAACGGGAACGTGATCTCGCTGGAGGCGTTCGTGGAGTTCTCGCTGTGGTGGGCACCGCTGATGACGACGCTTTCCCTCCTGAGAAACGACTGGGCGTCGACGAACCCGACAAGGGTGCACGGGTTCATCAGCAGGATCGCGGCGGAGCGGCAGCTGCTGGAGAGGGAGCGCGGGACCTTCCTGCTGAGGTTCAGCGAGTCCCAGCCCGGAGAGCTGGTGGTCAGCTTCACGGAGCACGTAAGTGTTTTTTTGGTCTGTGTCAAAGCCCTCCGCTGCTGTCTGTAGTATTAGCCGTGCGTGTTTTTTTTTTCTCACTTTGCCCGGTCCGGGATACTTTTAAGAGTATTGGGCAGGTTGAAAATTTCCATTTGTCACGCGATTTTTTACCGGCCTCTTTGCCTCAGAGCTGGCCTTTCTTTGTTCGGCCTCATACCGATACCGGGACCACCTGCTGTAGCTTAGTTTCGCAGGAACGATCCCTACCCCCAAGCGAGCAACAACGACCCCAGCGTATCATTCCTGGCTACTGTATACCTACCCTCCCCTCCGCGTCGCCCCCTTTCCTTGCATGTTTGGACCTTTTTCGCGTCGACGCCAATCGATATTCCCCCTCAACCCCGCCACCAGGTGACGCAGGCAGCGCCCCGGGATTCATCAATGCTGGCCTCCGCCCCCTGCTCCCGGCCGCGGTCGCAGTCCATGTGCGTCAAGCACTGCCTGGTGGAGGTCAGGAGGGGCGGCTGGTGCTACATCGAGGTGGAGCAGGGGTCCAAGGTGCCCTACCCCTCGCTGCACGACCTAGTCCTCGCGTGCTCCAGCATGGAGGTGCTCTACCCGGACGTGCGGAAGGAGGACGCGTTCGACGAGCCGTCGGGCGGGGGGCCGTGGGGCGGCGGCGGGGGGGACGCCGCGTTGAGCGACTCGATGCCGCTGTACCCCCAGCCCTCCGACGTGACGAGGTTGAGCGGGCCCGTGGGCGTGGTGACGCTCGAGGAGTGGGGCTCCAGGCCACTCGACATGGTGCTGGTGGATGACGATCTGGATGCGGACCTGACTCTCGCGGGCGCCGTATAGGGTGGACTGCTGTTGTTGTGTCTGCAGCGGTGTCTACTACGGGCGTGTCTAAGCACGCGCGAGATTGTCATCCTGTGGCACTCCCACAGCCAGTATATTAGTAGTACCCCCACGGACTTGCGCACGCACGCACGCGCGAACTCTCTGGTGAAGTTTCTTCCTATTTTCTTTTTTCCTTGTCTTACTTGTTTCGTGTCGTCACTGGCTCGGTGGTTGATTGTCCGGCTGCCCCGCCTCGCTGCGTGTGTCTTGTACAGTCAACGTCAATGTATTTCGTGCCTTGTTGTGAGGGTCTGCATGCCGGTGGCGGTGTGGAGCACAGCACGCGCGGCGCGGGGCATTGTCCAGCGAAAAAGTGTGGCGTGTGCGCCGTTGCACGTATAGGGTGGCGCTTGTTGATAGTTTTTTTCGGCTCTGAACTCTTGTGCTCTTTGGGCTTAGAGAGCAGCGCCGTTGGAGGGTCATCGCTGAGTGAGCCAGCCATGCACACTGAAACACCGTGTGCTCCGCCGTAGCTGGTGCTTGGGAGGGGCGTAGGGTCAAGGCCGCGCTGCTGGTCCTGCTGTGCAGGCTGTGGCTTCTGGTGCGTCGTAGAACATATAATAGCGTTACTCGTTTGACCTTAGGGAATGGAAGGTGTAGGCATGTCGTTTTTTTTTATGCTTCTTCGTGTACCTTATGTCATGCACACAGTTGCGGTATGCCTCCCTACCCCCGCCCCCCCCATGAAACCTCTCGCTGTTCTCGGTGTATGCATCTTCTGATGGCGATATTTTATGCGTATAGGTTTGTTGTTTGCTCGCTTTTGTGGGGAGGGNGGGGGGGGGGGGGGGGGGGGGGGGGGGGGGGGGGGGGGGGGGGGGGGGGGGGGGGGGGGGGGGGGGCATGGTGGTTGTATGGAGGGATGTACGGGATGCATCGATCGTGATACACCGGATCCCCCTTCCTTGGTGGCTTTTCTCGTACCTGGCAACGGCGACAATCGTTGTGGGGGAGGTATAGACAATCGGTGGGAGAAATACAGTCGTGTAAATCTGCAGTGACGTTCGGTTACGTAAACCCCACCAGGGCATCCATGCATTTTTTTGTTCTCTTATTGCATACCGCGTATACATCATATTTTCCTTCTAAAAAAAGAAAACGCCTAGTCGTGCCGCTGTGTGCAGGAGAGTATTGGTGAGGCGCGTCCGCCCCTCTTCCGGCCGATTTTTTTTCCGTTATGTTTTCCGACGTAACCAGTTCGTTCGGCAGTGCCTCGCAGCACGGAGGTTACCAAGCGGGGTGGCTTTCATTGCCAGGATTAAGTTTTCCTCGTTTATACGGCTCTTTGTAGGCGCGGGCGCTCTTGCGTGGGCACCGCCGACGGTGCTTGTGTTCAAGTTTCGGCATGATTTGTCAGAATAATACACTTTTTGCCTGAACTTGGCATCCACATTATGAGTTAAAAGCAGAATGTGTTGCTTGCGTGTTGCAATCGGACTTAAAACAGGTACCGGGGCTGTACCTGTGTGAAATATGCCGAATTTGATAGGCGCTCCCTTTTGTTGGCCGCGCGTCCCTCCTTGGTTCGCCGCGGTTTCGACACGTGATACGAGACTCTCTGTCGTTCCCCCCCTCGACTGCTACCGCTCTTTAGATTGTGCTGTGACTACAGTAGCCAAACAGCGGCGCCGGCGTGTCTGTCACCATGGGCGTGGTTGGTGGCTTGCAGGTGGCAACGACCCATGTTTTAGAAGAGTTTTGTGTGGCGTTTTTCACAGGTTGCGCTGGTTTCGTTCGTTGCTCAGACTACCTTTGGCGGTGGCGCGCGGCGTCTAGAGGGAGCGGGCACGCGGCATGTGTGGGAGCTTACTCCCCCCTCCCCTGTATGGTATAATAGAGGGTGAGGCCCCTCCCGTTTCTCTGGGGGTCACATGGCGGTATATAAATCATCCGGGCGGGCGAGGAGGGTACAGTCGAAGTCGTTATTTTGAGGAGAAATAGCGGACAATACTCGCTAGTAGCGTGTTTCGCTCGGCGGGCCAAATGTCACAGAGATAAAAAGTAATTGATAACCTATTCCAAACCTGACACTGGAGTCCTCTTGATTTTTCACGGTTGGGAGGGTACACAGAGACGGGGTAGACTACACATCACGGTTTTCCGCAGCCGTGTGGCGGGTCGACCCGGGCGAGATTTTCACTGCCCGAGGCCAACAGCCTGTCCTTCCTTCTTTTCTCGCTGAACGAAGTTGGTGTCCGCAGGCAGTCCCATTGGCCTTTTCGGGTGCCAGCCCAATTTCTTGACCCTTGCCTTCATGCGACGCGCACCTGTGCAGGTCGCAACGGTTGTGTGCTCTGTGTGTCCATCAGCACTAATAGTTCGACTGCGTTCCGGGATGCCTTTTTTTTTGCTCTCCTGACTTGTGATGGACCAAAGATGCCATACCAACCAGCGATGCGGGCTCCCCTTCCTTGCTTGTGCCAACGACACGAAACCCTCTGTATTTTATCTGCTCTTTCACACGATGAAATGAAAACAAAACAACNTTCGGGTCTGCAGCAGCACGTGTACCCTATTTCTGTGTGTGGAGTCTATGTTTTCTGCCCTGGGTTGTGCGTGTGTGTGTTTCGCGCACACTCTGTACAACTACTTTAGTTGGTAGTTGTTTGCCAGGCAACTACTCTTCCAGGAGCGTTCGCACCTAGTTGCCTGCAGACAACTACTCCTCCAGGAGCGTGCGCAACTAGGTGTTTCCGAGCAACTAGCCGGTAGGTTGTCTGGCAAACAACTAATTCAGTTATTAGTTAAAGGTGTACAGGGTGTAAAAATACAAATACCACCAATCCAGAGAGAACAAAACAAAAACACGCCAGAAAAAAGTAGCAACTTCCCCGAGATACAAGAAAAAGGTGCCTGCTCCGCGCCACTTGCCCTACAGGACCGGCCCGCCCTTGGGAACTTCGTAGTTGAAAACTTGAGGCTCAAAATTTCCAAAATAAAAAAAACATGACCTTCAGAACAGGTGCTCAGCTATTCTACAATAAAACCTTTGTAAACGCGGGGGTACCCCATTGACAAAACAAAAACGAACCCCAGCAAAACAAGCGGTCCTTTGAGTGCGGGCCGGTTTCTATAGCTCGCGCCCGAGGGCAGCAGCTATGTATGTACAATGCGAGCGTGCTACGCGGGTCGCGTCCGCGTGTCTTGTCCGTGCTATCGGTCGAACGCGCGAGGAAACAAACGGCGAGCGTTGGCCGTGGTAGTCTCGGCGACGACATCCGCGGGGACCCCCTTCAGGCTCGCGATCCAATCCCTCGAAACGGAGAGGTTCCCCGGAACGTTCCCGACGCCCTTCTCTGGGCCCTGAACATACAAAAAAAAAGAGGGGTCGGGGCGGAGAGTGACGGCGGGAAGGGTTGGAGCATTTCGCGGCCGTGCAATGCTCCGCCGTACGCGGTAGAACGTAGTTCCAGTGCGAGTCGGTGGTTGGAGAAGTGGCCATGTATCACCCGCAGACCAAGAGATACCCATTGCACACGTATGCACAACAGCTATGCACACGTAGCTCGAAATACGCCGGCATTCGTGGACAATCGATAAATGATTTAGGGGCCCGCAGGTAGGTTCACAGAGAGAGAGACAAAAGGTGGGCCTCTGTGGCGAGATCGACATTCTTGGCCGTGTTTCGTGGCAACTCGCCACCGGCACCGTGAGCCCTTGTGACAGTTCTATTGGGTGCCTAATCATCTAGCCACATTCTCGACGCAAATCGGAGTCCCACCCCCCAAGCAACACCCATTTCTGCTCCTTTGCTTAACAACAAGCATGCGCGCACACTGCCACTTTGTTGCTGGCAAACATGGCTCAGGTCGCGAGGGCCGCAACCTGCCCCGGGTGAGAGTGCCCCAACGCTCCCTTCACACTTAACACTGGTTACAAATAAACTTAGAGAACCAGCAAAAAGAAAGAAGACGCGCAGCTGTCCGCTCACGATACGTTCCTGCTCTTACCAACGCGGGCGAGTCTGTCTCCAGCACGAGCGACTCCAACGGTAACGCCTTCACAAGACTCTGGAAGCCCGAGGAGCGGCAGACGATGGGAGGAACGGAGAAAAAATACCCCGCCTTCGCCGCCTGCACGGCATATCTTTCCTCCGGAAATAATACCAAGGGGGTGCGGTGGATGGGGGAGGGGGGGGGGGGGGGGGGGNNNNGGGGGGGGGGGGGGGGGGGGGGGGGGGGGGGGGGGGGGGGGGGGGGGGGGGCAGGACGTACTCATCATTTGCAAATCCTTCAGCGGCTAGACCATATTGACCTGACCATACGGGGGTGTTTGACGGCGGCCAGGGGGGTGGCGGGACGCGCGGTGGGAGGGAATGTTGGGGGGTGATAGACGGAGTTGGCTGCGTGCGCCGACTCTCGCGACGGTGCCTGGTTGTTTTTAAGGCGTGTGCTGCCAGAAAGAAAGGCGGCTCGCGACGGGTTGTCCCTAAAAGCCCTTCCGCTCTTGACGATGATCTGTCGCAATACATGTAGACGGAAAACTACGCATGTTTTCAATCTGTGCTCTCTCCTCGTTTGAAGGAGGGACTAGGGAAACCAACCCAAGAGACCACGGTGGGGCGAGGAACCCCGCCGTGCCCGTATTTCGATGTACCAACCTTCTCGCCTCCAGCCGTCGCGAGGTATTCCTGTTGTTGCTGTTGTTGTTCTTGCCCTAAAAAAAACGAGCTGGTCAAACAATGGTTCACCTGGACCCGGAAGGTTTGCTGAATTTCCGCCGTGATAAGGCCGTTGTCCCTACAGATCGGAAGTACTGTGCGGGCGACCTCCCTCGGCAACCTATTGCGGTGTAAGGCTCACCGACACAAACGCTGAAAACCGATTCGACAAGATAGAATACGGTTGTAGGCCGAATGATGAGCGGGCGGAAAACGGTGTGTGCACAGCCGGAATCAGGGTCGCGGGGTACGATACGCGGAACGTGCCGGTTTGTCGTGCTCTGTCGCTTCGCCGAATCTTGACGGTTCCTCCGGCGGCGCACCGCTCAAACACTTACTTGGGCTTGCCGTCGAAGGCGTGGAGAACAGCTCGGGTGATGCCCTCTTCTTGAAGCAGCGATATTGCGTGGTGCCCTGCCGAGCGGCTGTGCACGTTCACCGCCAGGCCAAGCTCCTGAGGGTTGCGCGACGCCAGGCACCCACGGGCGCGAGGAAGGAGGAGGAGTTGGCCGATGGCTGCGTACGCGAGGCGTGCAGCGGGTGGAAAGCTGCGAATGACTCGCAGGACGACGGGGTGGTGAATGGCAGCACGTACAGTAACACGCCGTTTCGCGGTAAGTACGACAGGGTCCCGCAGCAGCAGGACACGAGGAGCACTGCCGCCAGCAAGAGCGCTCGACACGTCGCCACCAATACTGCTTTTGTACCGCAACTCCTCTTCACACGCCTACCTACAAGGTCCCGGTGGGATGGTCGCTGATACAGACAGAAGCGGCAAACAATCGACACGCCACCCACGGAGGCAGCGTAGGCGGTTGCCAGGAAACGCCATGTACAATTCCGTGAGAGCACTACGCGGTAGACCCGAATGAGACAGCTGGAAAAATCAGTGGGTCCAATCCAAAGCCGTGCATACACCGAGAGGCACCACAGCATTGACGACTGTTTGTCTCCTTGCATCAAGCCCGCTGATCTTCCTCTCGCGTTAAGCCAATGGAACTGCTGTTGTTGGTCTACCTTATACCGTCGATGACACAAGATAACACACCCACATAAGAAACCACCCCCCCCCACAGAATACGACACCGGTGATCATTTTGGGGGTTTCTGACAAACCATCGATTTATCACCGGGGCTACGTGAGAAAACACACCCCTGAGGTTACGCCGCATACATTCAAGGGGCTCCCCCTTCTATCACCGGGGTGACACAACATCTTCCCCTAAGACATGTGGGCATCTCACAGACACACCATCTGCGTAACTCTCTTTTGGTCGTACCCAGTAGGAAGGCATGCAGGAGGCTACTTGTTGGGGTGAGGGGGCAGGACGGATGGCGCACTCTGTGGCCAACGAGTTATGTGCTCAGGAGTTTCGTCACCTCCGCTGAGCTCCTTTGTTTTACCACATTCCGCAGAACCATAAGTCATGAAGCGTTCGTACAGGCAATGCTATCACACCCCCGCAATACCCACCAAGTGTGCGGCAGCAGCGGTTCAACTCTACAAGAAGTGTAATAACACGTCCTTCTTATCACCCCCCCCCCCATTATCATGGAAGTCGTAGAGGCAGTCCGGAAGGGAGTAAAAGTAGGGGACACGGAAACGTCGGTTTCAGAAATGCTGTTTGCGGATGATTTTGTCGGTATGTCGGACACCCCTGAGGGACTGCAACTGCAAATTGACGCGGCGAAGAAGTTTACTGATAAGTGGAGATTGTCTGCCAACGTTAAGAAGAGTGCCGTCATGGTATGCAACGAGAACAAGGAGGAACCAGTAGAACATAGATGGAAGTGGGGGATCGAGGAGATTGCAGTAGTGGACCAGTACACATACCTTGGAGTAGAGATCGCAAAAGACTGCTCGTGGAATGCACACATGTCCAAGGTAGCGGAAAAGGGCAAATCACGAGCAGGGAAGCTGCATCCAATACTCGCAAACCGGCA